CATAATCCGCATCAGAAAAGGCATGCAATCTAAAGATAGAGTCTCTAGGATACCAAAGTCATAAACTAGGAGTGTCCTTAAGGTATCTAAATATTCTATTAACATCTAGTAAATGTGATTCCTTAGGGCATGATTAAAATCTAGCACATAAGCAAACACTAAACATAATGTCCGGTCTACTAGCAGTTAGATAAAGTAAAGATCCAATCATTGACCTATATAATTTACCATCTACACATTTACCTCCTTCATCTAAGTCATGATTTGTTGAAGAGCTCATTCGAGTGTCATGAGGCTTGCCATTTTCAAGTCCAAATTTCTTGAGCATATCTTTGACGTACTTAGCTTGATTGATGAAGATGCCATCTTTTCTTTGCTTGATTTGGAGTCCCAAGAAAAATGAGAGCTTCCCCATCATGCTCATTTCGAATTCGCTTAGCATTATCTTAGAAAATTCTTGGCAAATAACATCATTAGTAGAACCAAATATTATATCATCAACATAAATTTGAACTACTAATAAATCTTTACCTTTATGCTTTAAAAACAATGTAGTGTCAACCTTCCCTTAAAAAGTTTGACAATCTTTCATACCAAGCTCTAGGAGCTTGTTTTAAATCATAAAGTGCATTCGTCAATTTAAGAACATGATCTGGAAATTTTGAATCTTCAAACCTTGAGGTTGTTCCACATACACTTCTTCTTTTATAAAATCATTTAAAAATGCACTTTTAACATCCATTTGATATAATTTAAATTCATGAAAACATGCAAATGCTAATAATATTCTAATTGCTTCCATCCTAGGTACGGGAGCATATGTTTCATCATAGTCTATGCCCTATTCTTGAGTATACCCTTGAGCAACAAGTCTAGCCTTGTTTATCACTATATTACCACTCTCATCAAGCTTATTCCTAAATACACATCTAGTACCTACAGTAGATTTATTACTAGGCCTTTCAACTAATGTCCATACTTTACTTCTCTCAAATTGATTTAACTCTTATTGCATAGACATAATCCAATGTTCATCATTTAATGCTTCTTTAATATTCTTAGGCTCTATGCATGAGATAAATGCAACATAATTACAAATATTTCTAAGATAAGATCGAATTGTTACCCCTTTGGATGGATCACCTATAATTTCACCTTCCTTAACATAGTTGTACTCCCTTGGATAAGATACTTCCCTTTCTTCAATGGTTGGATTCTCGATAGGATCATGAGTTTCCTCATCTTTCGTTTCTTCCTTTGATAATGATTCTCCAATGTCATGTCTAACGTCATTTGTATTTATAATACCTACATCATCATTCAAACAAGAATCCTTCCCCGGAAGGATATTATCATCGAAAACAACATGTATAGACTCTTCTACAACCAAAGTTCTTTTATTAAATACTCGATAAGCTTTAGAATTTAAAGAATAACCCAGAAAAATTCCTTCATCACTTTTAGCATCAAATTTGCCAAGATTGTATTTACCGTTGTTTAAAACAAAACACTTACATCCAAAAGGATGAAAATAACTAATGTTAGGATTTTTATTTTTGAAAAGTTCATATGGAGTTTTCTATAAGATAGGCCTAATCATTACTCGATTAATAAAATAACAAGTGGTATTTGTGGCTTCCACCCAAAAATACTTTGGCAAATTGTTTTCACAAAGCATGGTTCTAGCCATTTCTTCTAAAGTTTGATTTTCCTCTCAACAACTCCATTTTGTTGAGGGGTTCTAGGTGCTGAAAAATTATGGCTAATACCATTAGAATTACAAAACTCAGTAAATCTAAGATTTTCAAACTCAGTTCCATGAACACTCCTAACACTAGTTATAGAGTAATCTTTTTCGTTTTGGATTACTTTTGAAAACGTGATGAATTTTTCTAATGCTTCATGTTTAGTACTTAAGAATAGAACCCAAGTATATCTAGAATAGTCATCTACCAAGACAAATGCATATTGTTTTCCACCCAAGCTAGTAGTTCTAGATGGCCCAAAAAGATCTAAGTGGATCAATTGTAATACTCTACTAGTTGACACATCATTAATGGGTTTAAAAGAAACTCGCTTTTGTTTTCCTTTAGCACAAGCATCACAGATTTTATCATTATCAAATTTTAGTTTAGGAAGCCCTCGAACCAATTCTCCTTGAACTAACCGTTGCAAAACACTCATGCTAGCATGTCCTAGTCTCCTATGATATAACCAACTATCATGCTCATCTTTTGCAACTAGGAATAAATTAGTCACATTAATAGAATCTAAATGCACCATGTAAATGTTTCCTATTCTATGACCAATAAGCATAATCCGATTAGATGCAATGTCAATAACTTTACAACCATTAGTTTCAAATATGACATTGAATCCTTTATCACAAAATTGACTAATACTCAAGAATATGCTTTAATCCATTCACATATAAAACATTTTTAATTTGTATGGAAGAGGTATTACCTATTGTACCTATACCTATTGTACCTATTGTATGGAAGAGCATCCACTATCAAGGTACCATGAATTTGAATTTGTTTCCCGTGCCTTGTAGCAATGCTCCTTTCCCTACAAATATAGATTAATTTTTTATTTTTGGTACCCAAATTCTTTTGGGTCCATATTCATTAGTTTCCAAAATCCTAGTCCCCTTAGGTATCCATTTGTGTAGAATATATTTATCTTTAGTAGTAATGAGTTCTTTAGGAACCCACATACTTCTAACGATTTTTCCATTAGAGGTTCTTTGGGGACCTCTATGATTGTAGTTTTTAAAATCTTTTCTAATAAAGTTGGATTTTAAATTTTCTCCCTTTTCAAAACGTTTTGTTCCAACTTTATCAAAAGAAGTTTTAAGATCATAAATTTTCTTTTGATGATCATCATTGACCTTTGAAAGTAAATTTTGCAAATCCAAAATTTTCTTTTCAAAGTCTTCTAGTTTGATTTGCAAATCTTTGATTTTACTTTCAAGATCGTTGTTGATTTTGGATTTGGATATGACTTTGTTTTCATTTTTCAATTTTGAAATATCATTTTTATATTTTAAAAACAATTTCTCATAATCCGAAGCCAACTCATTATATTCCTCTAATAGCTCATCATAGGATAAGTCATAAAAATCAGATGAGTTAGAGGTTACCTTAGAATCTTCCCTGAATGCCATTAAGCACAAGTTTGCTACTTCTTGTTCCTCGAACCTTCTTCATCGCTCCATGTAGCCATATGAGCCTTGTGCTTATTCTTTGATTGACCATTTCTCTTCAATTGTGGGCAATCATATTTGACATGCCCTGGCTTTTTGCATTCATAGAAAATGATCGGGTCCTTCTCTTTTGGTTCATTTTTGAAATTTTCATAGCTATGCATTAGAATACTAATTTTAGATTTTTTTACCTCATCGCTACCTTTATGAGTGACTTGAAGCTTGTCCGATATTTCTTTGGCGGTTGTACAAGATGAAACTCTTCCGTATTCATCTGGTCCAAGAGAACAAAATATGATATGAATGACTTTAGAGTTGAGCTGGAACAATCTTGTCTCTCCTTCACTCTATATTCTTGGATGAGTAAGAGGCTTGATATATCCGTATTCTACAACATTCCATGCTCCCATGTCACTTGCGCCTACGCCAATGGTGGTTTCATTAAATTTGACTTGTGATGCTGGGAAGCCACTTGCAGATGCATTGATGTATCAAAGTATTGTTGGGTCTTTGTTGTATTTGAGCCATACAAGACCGAATATAGCCTTTAGTGTTAATCGTGTGGCTCAGTATATGCATCATCCCCTGTGATGGTTATTGGCTTGCTGTTAAGAGAATTTTGCGCTATTTGAGTGGGATAGTTTATTATGGCTTGGTGTTTCGGTCATCCTCTGTGTCTGATACTTACTGTGTTATTGTGTTTGCTAATACTGATTGGGCTAGTAACATCGATGATCGTAGGTCAGTGTCTGGCTCATGTGTATTTCTTGGATGTAATCTAATTTCATGGGGTGCTAGAAGGTAGAAGACAGTGGCTCGGTCAACAACTGAGGTTGAGTATCGTAGTATTGCTGATATAGTGTCTGAAGTAGTTTGGGTTCATTCCTTGTTAGATGATATGGGTGAATTAGTGTCTACAATTCTGATTGTGTGGAGTGACAACACAAGTGCTATTGCCATGAGTGCTAATCCAATGTTTCATGCTCGTTCGAAATATATAGAGTTGGATACACATTTTGAGTGTGAGAAAGTAGCTTGTGGAGTTGTTCAAGTAAACTACGTGCATGCAGAGCATCAAGTAGCTGATGGGTTGACTAAGCCCTTGGTAAAGTGTGCGCACAATTTGTTTCGACTGAAAGTTCAAGTAGCAGAGAAGGAGACAGCTGAGAAGGACTGGGAGAATGTTGAAGCATAGTTACGTGCATTATCAGCAATGGCAGTTGGGATTGTTGCATGCATGTTGAGCAAGTTGGCTGGTAGTCGGTTAAGGCTGTTAGGAATCTGTTAGGAGGTTGTTAGACTAGTTATGCAAATCTTTTCTTGTATATATACTGATGTAATTCTTTAGTGAAATATAAGTTCAGTTTATTCTTTATCTCTTCATAATCATTTTGCTTAAGTTTCAACACAGGGATGGGTTATATAACAAACAAAAACAGTAGCCTAGAAGGTAAACGTCTATTTCATCCTCTGTTTTGACCACTATCAATTCCACACTTAAAGCATATATATATATATATATATATATATATATATATATATATATATTAGTTTTACACATCCACACTACATTTGATTTTTCCCTTTTAGATTCTGCTTTCACCAAAAAGAAAGGAAAAAGAGACTAATGTGAGAGATTATCGATGAAGGCCAATGCATTGCTGGTTAAGTGAGCCACTCTGGCAATATTACTTCGAATAGTGTCTTTGATTTTTCCATTAATTACTTTGGCTTCAATCCCATCCATGCACGTATCTTCATCTATCAAAGTAGTACTAACCCAAGTCTGTATATTGCTCATTTTCATCTAAAATTCAGGGCCCTCTAGACCCTTCATTTTTGCCATCGATTGGTGCAGCTCATCCACAGAGTCTCTCATGGTCTCCACACAATCAGAAATGACAATCGTTTCTCTGTGCGTTAATCCATGCTCTTTTGACAACCTTAGTACCAGTGTCGAAGTCGATTGCTCGTTGTTGAGGCTTACGGAGAGAGCGGTATTGGCTAGTTCCCGAGGGCTGGTCTGGATGGTGCTAGCATAGGCTGAGAGTGACTGGTAGCATATGTCGGGATACATCATCACCTCACATGAAGTTTTAACAAAATCAGTATTGGAAGTCTTCGATTGTGGTTCTAATCTAGCAGCCGAGAAAGGGTTTGTAATACTTAAGAATAAAGCGAGGGCGACAGTGGCTTGAAGGGCATAGAATTGGAAAAAGGACAGCTTTGATAATGTCAAGTACTCCATTGTTGTAGTATTAGTAGTAGATTCTAAATTTCTTCAACGAATCGATGAAGATGGAATGGAGAGAGAGAGCACACATTATAACTAATATATAAGGAATGGGCAAATGGCAAAGGTGTGTTTAAAAGGAAGTGGGACTGGGAGGGGCATGCAAGTTGGCCCTTGTGAACTCCACCAATAATTGAATAGCGAAAAAACAAAACAATGAGATAGGATTGGTTAGAACAAAACTAGAGTTTTTTCTCGAACACAACCTTCATCTTCCTCTTGTTTGTCTCACTAAAAAATTCGGATAAGGTAGAATTTAGTTGGGTCAAAATTTCAATCCCAAAATCAGATAAGATAGAAAAATATATTATTCGAATAACAGTAGAGTATTGTACAAGAAGTCATGACACTTGGTGAATAAACGTATTAATAATAATTTATATGAATTGATGAATATATTTATATTTTAGTTCAAAATTACATCCATTCGATCATATTTATCAGTTTTTCAATAATTTTTTCAGCAAAATTCAAGTCTCTTCATCACATGGTCTTAACTTTCCATCAAATACTCTTAACCTATCATTTTATTTTCTCTTCAATATATAAAAAATGACTTTGGTTATGCTTAGCTAATTTTCTTTCAAGCCGAAGACTAAAGCAAAGGCTCATTTCCAAACGTGAGAATTGTAAGGTACTTAAATCGTTTCAAATTTGCTGTCTGTTTTCTGAGCTTACTTTTCAAATCAAAATGATTTCGACATTGGTCCGGATATTGTTATGGTTAACGTTTGAAGAAGGATTTGCTTATTGAAGAATATTCAACTTCCCGAGAACACACTTAGCATAATTGTTTGCTAAGAGGAAATTGAGATCGAAATTTGTTATTATTGAAATGACACAATCCGAGTTGGCAGCGAATAATTTTTCTTGTAGTATCTGACGTGAATCTTGAAGTAAAAATCAGTTTCGATGATCTGAGGAATTTGAGACAAAGCTGAAGTCTGAGACTGCTTTCACAATAAGTTTCCCTTTACCTCAATCTCTTTAATTTGTTTATTTAATTATTTTTATTTTAAAAACAACTTTTAAAAATACCCTTTTAAATATATTACTATTACTATTTATTATTATATTATTTTTCCTTTTTATTATTTATTTTATTTTAATATATCTTTTCAACTTCATCTGAAATTCTATCTTCTTCTAAAATCAAGAAAGAGTTTTATTAAATCGGAAACACCACAGTCCATGTGGATCGACCTTACTTATCTATACTAACTTTTCCTTTTTATTTATTAATAATCCAGGAATTATTTTGATAGCAAAACGAAGGTTATCAAATTGGCGCCGTTGTCGGGGAGTAACGGCAAGTACTGATTTATTTTCTAGTTTTTTTATGACCATAAGAAACCCAGGTGAATTAGTAGATCTAGATCCGTAGATCGAAGTAGATGTATACAACATTCCGATGGAAGAAGAACAAATGATTCATGTATTAGTCACAACAATTGTCACTCAAACGCCATTATTAATTAATTTTCCTAGTGGTGAGACTCCATTTCAATTAAAGACGGGACTCATTCATATTCTTCCCACCTTCCACGGCTTTCCCACTAAAGATCCGCACAAGCACTTGTTGGAGTTAAACATGGTTTACACTAGCATTAAACCACAGGGTATTAGCGATGATCAAATTAAATTAAGAACTCTCCCTTTCTCTTTAGCCGACTTGGCTAAAGATTGCTTATTTTGTTTACCTCCAAATTTAGTTAATTCATGGGCTGACAAGAATCGATTTTTTCTTGAAAGGTTCTTTTCAGCGGCTAAAGCAAGCGAGTTGAGAATGAGCATTCTTTTCATTCAACAAAAGAATGAAGAAAGTCTTTATGACTATTGGAAGCGATTTAAAAAGCTTTGTGCACGTTCTCCGCAACACGGATTAAATGAGCAAACGTTACTTCAATCCTTTTATTAAGGCCTTTTACCAATGGAGATGAAAATGGTGTATGCTGCCAGGGGAGGAGCATTAGTCAACATGACCCCAACAACAACAAGGGAATTGATTTCAACCATGATAGCCAACGCTCAACAGTTTTCAAGTGAAGCCAGCCAACGGGTTCACGAGATAAGTATATTTTCCCTTGAAAATAAGTTAGATAAAATAACTGAAGTAGTTAATTCACTTGTTGCAGAAAAATATAGAGCAACAAGAGCATGTGTGAATTCATGAAATCACACCTCAACAGCAAACGCAAAAACCATCATTGGAGGAATTCATAGGGAAGTTAGCAATTTCACAAGAAAAGTTCATAGCATCCTAGGAAAAATCCCAAAGCCAAACCGAAACATATTTTCAAGAGTTAGATAACCAAGTAAGCCGACTAGCTCAAACTGTGGAAAAATTAGAATCACAAGGAAGGCTACCTTCTCAAACGGAGTTAAATCCGAGAAAAAATGTTAGTGCCATCACACTCCGAAGAGGAAAAGTTATCTTATCCGAAGTTCCAGCAGAAAAAGTCACACATCAAGAAGAACAAGAGAACACATCACCTTCAGAAATACAAGGTATATCTAACTCACATCCTTCTCTTTCTTCTCATGAAATCACACCACCACCCTTCCCATCAAGGTTATTGAAGCATGATAAAAGAGCTTAATAAAATGAGATCTTAGAGGTGTTCCAAAAAGTTCAAGTCAACATACCTCTTCTTGAAGTAATTCAACAAGTACCAAGGTATGCTGGATTCTTAAAAGAACTTTGCACAAAAAAGAGGAAATTAATGGGGCATGAAAAGGTAAATTTGGGAGAACATGTCTCTATAATTTTTCAACGAAAGCTCCCACCAAAGATGAAGGATCAAGGTATGTTCGCTATACCTTGCAAAATAGATGATTTTAAAATTAAACTGCAATGTGTGACTTAGGAGCTTTAGTTAATGTTATGCCATTTTCTATATATAAAATGATTACTAACGAGACTTTGAAGGAAACATGAATAACCATACAGTTGGTTGATCGATCTGTGATCTATCCAGTGGGAGTAATGAAAAACGTCTTGGTAAAAGTCGATGTATTATTCTTTCCTGCAGATTTCTATGTCATTGACGTGGAACATGATATGTCGGATTCTTATTCCGAGGTACTCTTAGGTCGACCCTTCCTAAGCACAGCACTACAAAGATCAATGTTAGAAGTGGTATACTAACAATGGAATTTGATGGTGAGATCGTTGAATTTGATGTTTACAAAGCAATGAAATGCCCTGATCATGTTGAAAGAATTAATTATGTTGATGTTATAGATCCTTTACTTGATGAATATATTGAATCTAATTTTTCTTATGATCTTTTAAAGGATCATGAACTTTGCCATGAGAGGAAGAAAGAGAGTTTGAAAATATTAATTCAATCAATTCTAATTTATCTTTATCTTCCTCTAAAACTAAAACTTCACCTTCTGTTTTGCAGGCACCTGAGATAAAATTAAAGAAATTAACGGAGCATTTGAAATATGTCTTTTGTGGGCGAAAATAAAACTTTTCCAGTGATCGTCTCAAGTAAATTATCCGAAGGAGAAAATGAAGCTTTGGTAGAAGTATTGCGATCTCACAAAGAAGCCATAGGATGGACCATTACCGACATTAAAGGATTAAGACCCTCGATTTGCATGCACAAGATCAAAGTCGAAGAAGGAGCAAAGTCATCACATGAAGGACAACACCGATTAAATCCACTGATGATGGAAGTAGTAAAGAAAGAAATTTAGAAACTCCTTGATGTTGACGTAATCTATCCAATTTCGGATAGTAATTGGGTAAGTCCGATTCATGTGGTTCCCAAGAAAACAGGAATCATAGTGGTCGAAAATCAAGAAGGGGAGTTAGTGCCAACAAGAGTTCAAAATGGATGGCGAGTTTGTATTGATTACAAGAAGTTAAACTCTCTTACTCAAAAATATCATTTTCCTCTTCCTTTTATAGATCAAATGATTGAAAGATTATCTAGGAAAACTCATTATTATTGCCTTGATGGCTTTTCAGGTTTTTTCCAAATCCCAGTGGCACCAGAGGATTAAGAAAAAATGACTTTTACATGTCCCTTTGGTACATTTGCATATAGACGAATGCCCTTTGGTCTTCGTAACACACCGGCCACCATCCAAAGAAGCATGTTAAGTATATTTTCTGACTATGTGGAGAAGGGCATCGAAGTCTTTATGGATGACTTCACGGTTTATGGTAACTCTTTTAATGAATGCCATGATAATTTAAATAACTCGGCTCAAAAAATTATTCGACTACGAAAAAAGAACTTTTTGCTATAATTTTTGCTATAATTGTTGCTTTAAAAAAATTTAGATCCTATTTACTTGGTACTAAAATTACTGTCTTTTCTGATCATGCAACTATAAGGTATTTGATGAGCAAAAAGGAAGCAAAACCGAGGCATTATCCGTTGATCATTCTTTTACAGTAATTTAACTTGGAAATCAAAGACAATAGGGATGCAAAAATCTGGTAGCAGATCACTTGAGTCTAATTCCCCTTTCCACATCCGAACCACCACTTGAGAATAATTTCCTGAAGAAAAATTGATGGTGGCGCAAAGCATAACTCCATGGTTTGCATACATGGTTAATTATTTGGCCACAGGTAAGTTACCATTAGATTTGCCGAGAGCTTAAATCAATTGAATTAAGTGAGAATGTCGATACTATATTTGGGATGATCCTTATTTATGGAAGTACTGCTCGGATCAGGTAATTCGACGATGTATTTTCGGAAGTGAGGTAAACTGAATTTTACAATTTTTTTCATTCTTACTCTTGTAGTGGTCATTTTGGGCCAAAACGTACAGCTCATAAAATTCTTGAATGCGGTTTCTATTGGCCTAACATCTTTCGGGATTCTTATCTATTTTGTAAAACTTGTGAAAGATGTCAACGTACAGGTAATTTAAGCTGTATTAATGAAATGTCGCTTAATTCTATACAAGTTTGTGAAATTTTTTATGTTTGGGGAATCGACTATATGGGTCCTTTTGCTTCGTCATTTG